GTTGGCACAAGGGAGGACTGACAACTTAACGGGAGGGGGAACACGGAACATTCGGGAACAAGGTGCAGGTATCAAGGTGGATTGGCAACTGGGGTAGGAGGGCACAACTGGGACTAAAGTATTAACGTGGGGGGGGTACAACTTAACAATAAAGAAGATAATTGAATCAAATATAATGAACAAAAAGGCACCGCAACGCCTTGCTAGACACACATAGAGCAAAGGCATTAGTGACAACTCTTACCTAGTACTTAACGAGTCTGCCAGCAAGGCCAACCAACTGAGCAGGAAATAGATACCTGTTCAAAGGCTCAGGAAAATAAGCAAGAGAGACCACTTGGGATGGCACAGAGGATTTTAAGAATGAGATACAGAAGGAGGGACTATAAAGAACTTAATCATGTTGAAATGAGTCGTCAAAAATGCTTATTATATCCACAGTCCCGATCTTGCCCTACTAAAGCAGAGTGTTGCTGTAACTTAGTACCAAAGTATTCCCTAGTTTCCAAGAAGACAGGTGGCTAGCCTGAAGGCAGGCTAAAGCACTGTGATATAATGCATCAGCTCTTCTGAATCAAAAATTAAATTAGTTTTTGAAATTAAATTCTTCACATTGTTTCATTTGACCCAAACTTCACCCTCTTTCGAGAATACTTCCACTGGGCACATTCTTTGAAGGATATTTTAAGTGCTGTGCCAGCCCTACAAGACATACTGATTTTTAAAGCTAGGGTATTTTTATTTCTTCTCCCTTCTAAAACCAAATTTTTCTTGCTCCTTAAAAAAAAAAAAAAAATCCATATATTTCTGTCAGACATATGGCACAAATAACCATCCTCTACCTTCTCCCCCAGTGCTGTACAATTAAAATATGCCACATACTAAAAAGATATTTGCCATCCGAATTCAGAAACTCCCATGGAGCAAAGAAGTACACAAAACAAACTCTACATAATAAAAAAGCTCCCACCCATTTATTCTAGCACAAACTTCACGAGTACTAACAAGTGCCTTGCAATAAAACCATGTTGATTTCTCAAATAAAGGGGTAACAAGTGTCTTTGACAGTAACACATATTCATGATTACATGACATCACCATGCTGTTAATATGACTCAAGACCCAAGGAGTATATGCCAGAAGGTCACCTTTGGAGCCCCTGTGCTAAACTGTGTTAAAACCACACTCACTACCTACTCAAAGTACAAGGGAGGGTGTATTTCCAGTAATGGCCTTTGTCCCATGGTGCACAAGACTCTCATGACAACATGCTCCAAACAAACATTGACAGAGCAAGGAATTACAAACTGTTGTTCAGTTACCTTTGTCAGCTTTGAGTATGCTTTGATAAGCAATGATGTGCAAGTTCAAAGCTCCTTTCAAGTCACTGTATTAAAAACTATTTTTCCCTACTCATTATAATATAACATAGGAGTATAACTACTTTAATATTTATATATAGTATATATTTATTATATATATATGTACACAGACACACATAGATATAGTTGACGTAGATATGTAACAGAAATAAAATGTACAGCAAAAAACCCAAGAAACTACCAATTTGTAACAAAGAATTAAGGTTTCATAAGCTTCTACAGTCACGTACTCACTTCTTCTGTCAGTTGTATTTATCTCAATTATTATTCAATGATAAACAAATATGAACAAGAGCACAGTTGCTTTGTGTTTATTTACAAATAGTTTATTTTCTTTCCAAACTGTTTGATAAACGACACGCTAGGACTGCAAAGAGGTTTGACAAATAAGTTGTCTTCAATAAAGACATCTAAAATCAGCAAGTTTTGACATTGCTCTGTTGAGAAGTTCTAGTGATTGAGCAGGGGTAAGACCATTTCTAGTTTCTATTAAATATTTTTTAAGTCATGGAGAAGAACTAATTTATAGACTATATGTGGGGAAAGACTATACATGGGGAATCTTCGTAACAAATATTACCTCTTCTGAAAGTGTAAACTAGGAACTCTAATTTCTCAATAAATTGAGTAGAACAAAATCAGAACAAAAGCCTGACTGGCATCGCACAGACAAAGCAGCAAGAACTGCTTGGATGTGCCAAGGACCATTAGCTTGCTATAGAATCATAGAATAATTGGTGTTGGAAGAGATCTTTAATGATCATCTAGTAAAATGCCATTCCAGGGGTGGGGACACCTCTTTTAAGACCAGGTTGCTCAAAACTCCATTCAACCTGGTCTTGAACTCTTCCAGAAATTCCCCATCCACAATGTCTCTTGCCAGCCTATTCCACTGTCCCACCACTCTCACAGTAAAGAATCTCTTTCCATATGTCTTACCTAAATCTACTTTCATTTTAGCTAAATATGCTAGCCCTTGTCCTATCACTACAGGTAAAATGCTTCTCCCCACCTTTCTCAAAAGTCATCCCTCTACATAAGGCAACAATAAGGTCTCTCTTACAAGACAGGTTGATAGAGTTCTCTGATATTAAAGTCACCTGACATTCTCTCTTATAAGCTCCATTTTTCCTTGTTTGGGAATCTAATGATTCCATATTAATTATTATTTATATTTTATATTAACTATTAATATTTAGTATTTATATTGTTAATTGAAGGAAGATTATCTTCAGGTTAATTACATATTTCTGACACCTCTGTGAGAAACTACACAAATTACAAACCTATGTTGGTATCATTTCCTTACACTCACCTGGAGCAAAGTCCAGAGCTGCATTTGCAGAAGATGCACTTGCAGCAACATGTACTTCTACACACAGCCGCAGGGCTTCTCCAGTTGCAGCTCTGGTCTGTCACGGGACAGCTGGGACCAGATTTTACTTAACAACAGCAATGAATACTTTTCCCATGTGTGCTCAGTCCCTTCCACTGTTGCTGGATCCAAGCAAGAGAGAAGGATCTGTCTGCTTTGAATGTAAAGGGGACAAAAAGGTGGACTAGATGGAATAAATCAAGAGAGAACTAATAATGAAAACTAACTGGCAAGAGAGCGCTGGCTACAGCAGAACTGGATGAGAGAAAGACTGACCACCCCGTAGTAATAGAGATCTAAGAGGAAAAACTAGACACTAGTAAAGGGAGGCTAGAAAAAAAGCCAAATGAGAAGACTACGGCTCACTGGACAAGGTGATTAAAAGCAGGATTAAATGCCTGTTAAATGGTTTATAATGGTAAAGTAAATAAAACAGCTCTGAAAATGAGAGAGAGAGAGGCAGGGAGGGAGACTGGAGGGATGAGCTATGACTTTCCCAGTGTTTATTAAGAAGGCTGGGACTTAGATGAGAAATCCATAAACCGTGCGGATGACAAGGAGGAACTGTGGTTCAAGTATGCAGAAACTTATAACAGACTCAAAACCAAGAGGCCCTTAATGTCAATTCTGACAACCAAAACTTCTCAGTACCATTTACCTTCATCTCTCTGTACTCCCAGACATCTATTCCCAGCTGTATCTCATGACCATCACAAAAAGACAAAAAAAGAGTTTTCTCTTTCAGAACCATGTAAAACAGTATATTCATACCATTAAAAAGGGGGGGGGAAAGGCAATTTTATCACTGTTTGAACACAGAGTATTTTGCAGACTAAGGCAGAAAAAACACTACTGTCTGCGGGAGTTAACCAGGGCTGAATACATGGTTTTAACTTTGGAATTTGGTAAGCAGTGTGCTTGGTTTGACAACCACAAAAACCTTCAAAATTCTTATCTGTGCAGATAAATAGAAAACACCAATTACATGATTTGTGCTTAATTTTGTTCCTGAAATCCCTATTTGCAAAATCAAAGGGAAGCTGATGTATTCTAAGCTTAAGTGAAGCTGCCAAGTGAAAACATACCTTACTTACCTTTTCTTATTGGGTCATGCCACCAAATCTGGGTTAAGCAGCAATTGCGTATCTTCCTGCCTATCTGTCACATGACAAATGTAACCCATATATGATAGATCTGGGCCCAGTGCTGTTTAACTTGTTCATCCATGACTTGAATGACAGGCCAGATGCCTCCTCAGAGAGTTTGCTGACAACACAAAGCTGGGAAGAGTGCTGTGCAGCAGCCCTTGACAGACTGGATCCCATCAATGTCTTTAAAGACCTGAAGGGAGGCTGTCAAGAAGAGGGGCTAGGCTCTTAGCAGCTACCAAGCAATAGGTTAAGAGGTAACAGGCAGAAACTGAAGTTCCACCTGAACATGAACAAGAACTTCTCTACTGTGAAGGTGACAGAGCACTGAACAGATTGACCAAAGAGTGTGGTCTTCTCCAGTGGTATTCAAAAGCTGACTGGACAGGACAAAATTCTGCATAATACACTCCAGAGAACCCTGCTTGGACAGGGAGACTGGACCAGATGACTTTCTGTGGCCTCTTCCAAACTGACCTGTTCCAAGATTCCAGGATTCTGTGATGTTATAACATGGAAGAGTCAGAAACCTGAAACGCACAACGCAGTATGTTACGAGGCAGCTAGACTAACACGCTCCGACTAAACGCCCCTGGGCCCTGCCGGTGTGATCCAGAACAACCGTGCTCCGCTCCAGCAGCAGCTTGGCACCAACCGTGCCCATTGCAGCGCTGGCCGCTCCAGTGCGCTGCCCAGCGTCGGGGGCCATTAAGAGCGCAGCCACCGCGGGCAGGGCCCACCGGCGGGCTCCTGGGCGGGCGACCGCAGGCGCAGCATGAGCGGGGTAAGAGCCCGGACCCCCGGGAGCCGTTCCGCCCTTCACCGCGGTCGCCAGGCTCGGCCTGAGGCTGGCCAGCAGCCCGCGGGGCCTGCAGTGGGCCCGCCATTTTGCGCCGGGCAGACCGAAGCCGGCGGCGAGCGACTCCCACCATTTCGGGGACAGCACCTCCCTTCCCGCCCTGCGCCGTGAGGGCAGGGCCCGGCCTGGGCCCGTCCCCCGCGGGGCTGGTCCTGAGCCTGGCCGCGCCCTCCGCCCCGCCCCGCTCAGGTATCAGGTGAAACTGTCGGGAGTCAGAGTGGAGTGGAGGTGTCCGGAGCGCGGTGAGAGGATGGCTGTACGCTTCGGCTTGTGCCTACTGCTGGTGTTGCTGCTTTATGCGCTTTTGGGAGCTGCTGCCACTGTTAAAGGTGACCGGACCGGCGTGAGCTGCCAGCTCGGCTGGGATCAGAGGGACGGCCTGCCCGGCACCTCCGGCGGACTCGGCCGCCCCTCAGCCGCGGGCGGGAACTCGGCGGAGCGCTTAGCGGGGCACTCGGCGGGGCAGGTGTCTGCCCTGGCTGGGGTTCGGGGAGCCCAGAGCGGACGGGGCGGGCTTCCGCGGAGTTGAGCGGGTCGGAAAACTCGTGCGGGTGGTGTTGTGGCTGCCGGGACCAGCGGGCAGGGCTCCCCGGCCGGGAGGGAAAGCGCTTCACGGGCGGGCAGCCGGGCGCGGCGAGCAGCCCCCTCCGGGCTTGTGGGACGTGTGGGGCACGGCTTCACTCGCTTTATAGAGAACCGTACAATGGTCTGGCTTGGAAGGGATCATAAAGCTTCCATCTAATTCCGCCCCCCCCACCCCGCCCCGTCCTGTCTGGTCTTGAACACTGCCAGAGACGGCAGATCTCTGGACAACCTGTTCCAGTGCCTCACCACCTTCACAGTAAAGAGTTTCTTCCTACTATCTAGTCTAAATCTACTCTCTTTCCATTTAAATCCATTCCGTCTGGTCCTGTCACTTAGTGGCCTTGTAAAAAGCACCTCTCCAACCTTCTTGTAGTCCCCTTCCTGCCCGCCCGCTTACGATAAACATGAAAAAACTTTAAGGAGCGCGTTCTTGGTTTTTTCCCCGATCTAAAAAGCTAGGATTCTTTTTAAATTTTTAGTCTGTGCTATAGCTTGTTGAACATAAGTGCAGTTTGAGGAAAAAAAAACCTTATTAATATTTCACTGCATGCAGTTAATATTTCACCACCTTTTATAATAAACCCCATTGCCATATCTCTGCATGCCTTTGCACTGTGTCCCTCTATATTTCGTACCTGCCTTATTTACCTAATAAAATCATACGTGTAAAGATTGTATAAATATTGAAGCCAAGCATAGGATATACGTCATATACGTATTGAAGCCAAGCATACGTCTTATTTTCTCAACGGATAGATGCTAGGTAGCTGCAAATTGTGTTGTTCAGAGAGGAGTTCCTGAAATTAAACTGCTATTTAGTAGCCTAATTGTCTGACCTGGACGGAGTGGGGCATTTAGAATTCTTGGAGAAGAGAGAAAGAGGTTGCAGATCCAAAAACCATCTTCATCTTAAATTTAGTCCTATTGCGAGTATTACTTCCATGAGTAAACTAGTTAATTTTTGGATACTCCGTGCTGCTGTCACTTTTGTGTCTGCAGGGTAGACATAATCCTGTGTTTAGTATTTGGTGGTTGTATCTTCTGGACAAATGGCAGAGGTGTTGAAACAGTCTTTTGTGGGAGGAGAGAGTATACTTTTCCCGTGGGCAGATTAGCAAGTCTGCATTCTCTGTATGTGAGTCAAGCAGGGTGAAACTCGTCTTGGAAAAGAGCTCGATTGTTATGGAAAATGGTACGTGGTGAAAGAGTAAGAAGAGGATGTAGAAATGCACATACCTAACAAAGGATTGGTTGCTCGGTGAGGGAGTGTTTACCTGCAAGAGAAACAGGATACTGTCTCCTTATATGTAGAGGTTGCTAGCTGGACTGAAAAAAAGTTGCGCATGATAATTAAACTTTGCAGTCTTGAACAGTATTGTTGGTGTGATCATGGGGCTTGAATGTCTAAACAGAGAATTTTTATAATTCTGCTTTGTTGTAACTATGCCACATATAGATCAAAATGACTGTTTGGCATTTGAATTAATTTTCTTTAGGATGGTGGTTTTATTAGTATAATTTAAGCCTCTGTCTTCCTACAGTCTACTGCAAAGATTTGTCCATGTCATTGTACAGGCAAAAAGTTTTCTTGCACCTCAATTTTCCTGTGAAGGCTACCTAGGCCTAGAGATTTTTAAGTGCTCAAGTGGATCTAGGTTAACTTAATTTGAAACTCTGAAGAGTTTCAATACATGCATATTTCTGTGTACATCTCCAGAAGGTTGCAGGGTCTAGACAAGGGTCTAATGCTGTACCTCAGACTTTTGCAGTTATAATTTGAAAGGAACAGCTATCTAAAGTGGGGGCTGCTTTGGTGAATCAATACTGGAAATAGACTTCTGTATTTATCTATTTCTTGTGTAAGAATTCTTTAAAATGTAAGCTGTAAGCATTTTTTTTTTTATTTGAAGCTGTATCAACTATTTACTAACAAAGGGGCCATACTTCAACATTCTTCATGACTGTTCAGATATTCAAAAAGACATTTTTTATATTTCACTTTGGGGGCTTTGGCTAAATAAATCCACAAATATTGATAGAAACTGAGTTTAGAAATAATCCTCCCTAAGCCAGTCACCTTCCATGTCCATACTGTTTAGCTGTATGGAGATGGATGTTTGAGTTTTTGGAATAGTGTGCGTTGCAGGACATTGCTGTGCAACTTAGCCTGTCAGTGGAGGAGGACTGTGCTGTGTATGCAGGTATTTAAAATTGGGCTATCCAAAGTCTGTGCTACAGGACTTAGGAGTCAGGAGCACCTGGCTCACTCATGGTTTGTAAGCTCCCACAGCATTCAAAGAGGCAGAGCAAAGCTTGTAGTTACAGCAGTTTGTATGTGAAGCAGCCTTCATACTTCAGAGTATTTCATACTTTTAGAGCCTTCTGCTCTATCACCTGATACTTCAAGTAGAAGTGTCTCTCCTGAAGGAGATCCCGGATGAGGACCATATTGCAACTTCATGCACAGACTTAGTATGTTCAAGTTTCTGTTCAAATACACTGTAATGTGTGGCATGCCCTAGAGTTCCTTTGTGCATGGCTTTTGGACATGACAGGCTTTCAGTTTTAGCTTATCTGAAAGTAGTGTGTTCTTTTTCTATTGCATACCTGATTTTTGGGCCATCTAGACAGGCAAAGCTTCTATTGCAATTAAATTATCCTGCTGTGAAGTTCTCTATGTCCCAGTACTCAGCTGATCTGGCACTGCTGTGTGAAAAGGTAATGGTACCCTGGGGTAGTTGAAGCAGTTTCTACTGTAACTGTTCAGGTGGTAGAAGCACCCGACAGCCCATTTTAACAGGGCGTTTTTAATATCACTGGTGATGTGGGAAAGTGTTTTGGTGTCTGGTAGAATCCTTGAATTCTTTGAGGGGTAGAGGTTGTTGTCTTTTGGATAATAAATTCAAAAGAAAGGGAAGATAAATTGTCAAGTGTTTGAACATCAGTCTTAATTTTTCTGTTGATAAGGCTGTCTGTAAATATTCAGAGTAAATCACTATATCTAGTTTATTTTTAAAAGGGCAAAAATCTGTATTTCAACAACAGCAACAACTTTTTTTTTTTTTCGTTTTAGAGAATGATGGATCCATGAAATCAAAAGGAAGAAGTTTCATTGGCCAGAAGGTTACAAATGCAAATAATTCTGAAGAGTTATACAAGGTGGATGAATTTGTAACGGAAGTCCTCACAGGAAAGCTAACTACAGTTTTTCTTCCCATTGTTTATATCTTTGTCTTTATAATTGGTTTGCCAACCAATGCCATGGCCCTCTGGGTCTTTTTTTTCCGAACAAAGAAGAAACATCCAGCTGTGATTTATATGGTTAACTTGGCATTAGCAGACCTTCTTTTTGTTGTCTGGTTCCCACTGAAGATTTCATACCATCTAAATGGCAATAACTGGCTATTTGGTGAAGGTCTCTGCAAAGTATTTGTTGGGTTTTTCTATGGGAATATGTACTGTTCCATCCTCTTTATGACATGTCTCAGTGTACAACGGTATTGGGTTGTAGTGAACCCCATAGTGCATTCAAAAAAGAAATCAGAAATTGCTTTGGGCATCTCCATTGCTATCTGGATACTGATTTTGTTGAGCACTATTCCACTGTATCTTGTTAATCAGACGGCATATATTTCAAATCTTAACATCACAACCTGCCATGATGTGTTGCCTGAAAATGTTTTGGCTCATGATATGTTCAGTTATTTCCTCTCACTTGCAACTGGACTCTTCTTAATCCCAGCAATCATCACAGCTGTTGCATATGTTCTAATGATTAAGACCCTGAGTGCTTCCATCATAGATGTAAGCACTGGGAAGAAAAGAAAAAGAGCAATCAAACTCATTATTGTTGTCCTGTCCATGTATCTCATCTGTTTTACACCTAGCAATGTGCTGATTATTGTGCACTATTCGCTCCTCAAAGCCTACAGCCAGAGCCATCTGTATGTGTGGTACATAACTGCGCTGTGTCTTTCTACTTTGAATAGTTGTATTGATCCATTCATCTATTATTATATTTCAAAAGACTTCAGAGACAACCTTAAATATGCTCTTCTTTGCCGAAGTGTGCGAACTACACAGAGGATGCAAGTGTCTCTCTCATCAAGCAGGAACCTCAAGAAATCAGATTCTTATTCTTCAAACTCAAGTAGGACCAATAAATCAACCTACTGAGTTTAATCTTAGGAAAGTGAACTTTTGTTATTACTGGTGAAAGGATGTGAGTGACAATAGACTTACTTTGTACAAGAGAGTCTGAAGAAACACATCTGCATTTTAATTACATTGAAGCCTGGAATTTGGAACTGACAGTTGCTTATTCTGTGTTGAAATGATAAGCAGATAAATCTTTGTGGAAAACTGGGGGGAAAATAAAGACATTTCAGATGCTGTGGGAAAATGCTGCTGACTTAGAAGTGAGTTGGGGCTGAAGGCATTCTAGTTGAATACAAAAGTTGCATAAAAGCAAAATGTCTCTGGAATATTTGCAGTATTGTTAGTATTTTTAGTTACCAGAAAAATCTGTTTTAACTGTAGTGTATTAAGCATCTGAACAGATTGTGTGTATAGGACTTTGCTCTATGTACCTGCTTACACTGAACATTTGAAGCTGTAGAGAGAAGTAGAGGAGAATCCATTTCACCATCTTGGATTAGACTGCTTGTTATCTTTGGTATAATATAATTTATATATTTTTTGCCAAGTTACTGTGCTGTAAATATTAACATAGCAAAAGCTTGCCATGTTATCCTGTTTGAGTTGACAAGCTCATCTTGTTATCAGCTAGCACTGGGATAAAATGTTAGTTGAGATTATCCACTGTTACTTAACAGTTGCCAGTACATGATCTTATATGGGGATATACAACAAAGTGTTGATGGATAGCTATTTGATTTTATAAAATGTGCCTTGTATTTTTTAAGACCTCTAAATAAGAATTTTTTTTTTTTTATAACACATTTGAGTTGGGTGTTTTCTTTTGTTTTTTTACATGCAATTCAAAAGTGGTTCAACTTGACTAATTCAGCTTGCCTGGCTTCACATAGCAAAGATGATTTTCCTAGCGGTTAATTATAAGCGTGACAACTGTAGTTGTAATGTCTAAATGGGTTAAGTAAAATTTACCTAATGACACATTTGTTTAGAGAGCAATGAAAGTAGGATGTTTTGTGATGGTATTTCAGAGGACGAAGCTAAAGTAGCAAAGTTAATATATGTCTCATTAAGAAGCAGAGGGTTTACAGCTTTAGATGACATGGAACACAAACACTTCTTGGACACAGTTTTCTCTTCCTGTTTCCTGACAAATACAGGGAAAAAAATGCATATTTATTACTGAGCTGAAGGTGTTAGCACCCTTACTGGAAAATAACTGTGGATAAGAGGCTGGAGTTCACTGTAAGAATTTGAAATTAAGAGACTTACACTGTCTTCACAAAAGGCCGTCTGAACTCTTGCCATAGTCTGTTCCCTTTATCTTGCTAAGCACCCCAGTATGCTTCCTGCCCCATATGCAGTAGTGAGTAATATGAAGAAAGGGCATCCAGTTCATGTACTTACATACCTACCTGTGTTCTGTCAGGAGTACAAAGGTTATAGGTTGTATGTTATAAAGATGATAAATGTGAGTGTAGCTGTATAATACCACAAGGAGACTGCTCATGATTCACAGATGACTGTTAAATATCTAAAATATGACATGCTTAATATAGCCTGTCTTTTGGGGGACAAAATTTATTTCTTGTCATTATTTAATCAGAAGTGCACTAAGCACTGTTTATGTATCTATACTCTGTTCATTGTTTCTTTCCTGTCATTCCTATCAAAAACTACTCTATATTAATCACCTCGTGTGAAGGAAAGTGCTGTTCCTCTTGACCATTTCTCCCTTCTAGCTTTCATCTGCAGGTTGGCAAAGCAGACTGCAATGAAGGATCTTTCTTACCTGTGGCAACAGTGGAGTTCTGCCAATTACGTGAATAAGAATCAGATGGTACTCCAGTATGTTGAAAGCTTGTTGAGAAAGAAGTTTTAATAAATAGAATTATTTCTTTTTAAATCAAGGTTCTACAATGTGTGACGAATTTTAGAGAATACTATTCAAGGATCTCACAGTCCTTTAAGTGGCGTTTTCCCCCTCTGTGGCTTTATTGCAAATGCTTATCCTGAATTTAGCATGAATTAATTTGCTTCAATTAACATAGCAGTTAGGCTAGGCTGGTTGTTAATTCAATTTGATTCAGTTCCTTGAACTGGCAGTTATGTGCCTGTGCAGCCAGGTAGTGGTGGGGTAGGAACATACAGCCTAGGAGAGTGGTGGTAGTTGCTTAAACCTGTTTTCGGGGGGAGTGGATAAGGGGAGGCTGTACTCTTTGGCAGTGTTGGCTAATATAAAGATTATTGTCTTCAGTTTACAGAAAATATATTTCCAAACAGTGCCAACTTTGCAATTCAAACACTAAGAGAATGAAAAAACTCTCCCTACCTATTGCTGATTAAAGGTTTAGATGCTAAAAAAACAATCACTACAACATTCATGAAAACATCAGGGAGTTGAAAATTGGTGTATTTTATGTGCACTGTGTCAAGCTTTCACAAGCAGCTCAAGCTTATGCTGCACCTGAGAAGTAGATTAGCCTTTCCTGCTATTTGTGTGATCGCACTGTTTCCTCATACTGTCATCAGCAAGTGTGACCTTGGGGTGGATTGGATCAGTTCTGGGTTAAAGTTAAACCAGGAGGATGGTTGAAAGTTTGCTTCTGGCTTGGAACAGTATTTGGTTGTTTTGCTGGATGAGCTTTTTGTTCAGAACAAGGGAGATGCTCAGACTCTCACCACCAACATCCTTCCACTGTGCAACTGCAAGTTGACTCAAACCCCCCAGAGTGGCCCGGCTAGCTCAGTGATGAGATTTCTCCTCACTCTGGTTTTGAGCCAGCATATGTTTGTGGGGTTCACTGATTTTCTTCAGGAATTCAAGTCTATCAAGCGAGTAAAGAAATCAGGCGTGAACTCTCTCCCTGGTTTGCATTCCACAGTTTATTTCTATGAAGGGGAATCCAAAGGGCGAAAGACCAAGGATTTGGGGTCACTTTTAACAGGGTTTCTTGAAGGGAGGGAACATCAGAGAGAGAACCAATTATTTTTCTCAGCTAGTACATCTTACAAACTTTCTATAAATCAAGGTTACACCCACCAAGATAAGAAATAACAGACACCAACTTCTTCAAATGCTCACAAAGTGTAGGAGTATTCTCCACAGAGGGGCAGAGAGGGGGAGGCTGGTTTCCTAGCAACACAGGAGGGCAAGAAAGGGAAGGTAAGAATGCCCTCTCAGCTTCCATAGCTCAGAGGCACTCTGGGACAGGAAAAACAGAATTACAAACTTCTGTGTTGGAAAGAAGGGTCTTTCTGCTATCACCCCTGTGCTTTCCTGGGCTACCGAAACTTCAACCAGCTGGAAATGCCAGCAGGGTCCTCTCTTTACTCTATCTGGCCTCTCGCCTTGGAGCTGAGGAGAAAAACTTCAGTAACCATGGTTACCTGACTTCAGGTAAACAATAGGAGAAAGAGAAGCGGGGGGGAAGTCACAACTAAAATAGGAGAAAAGATACATTTCAAGCTATCAACTACTAACATAAACTAACTTAACAGCATTCCAACAACTCTACCACAACACAAGTCAGAGCACAGTAGCTGCAAAGCCTCTGGCTAACCTCCCAAGCAGCAGGGAAGAAGCCTCTTCTGATGACCATAGGACTCTGCTCGCTCTGGCTCAGGATAGATCCAACTCTGCCAGAGTAATCTCCTCACCTGTGCCTCTGGAGGTCAACAAGAAAGCAAGGCATCAAGAAACATGTCAAGAAAACAGCAGAGCTGCAGCAAAAGGCACCTGGCTGACATACCAGGTTCACAGAAGATGTGGCCAGCACCACTTGTGTGCTGTGCTTTGGAGCATCGTTGAAATGTGCTCTGAAGTTCAGAAAAAAAGGAGACAAAGGCTGGGGCAGCTAAGCTCCTTTCCAGCTGTGAGGAAAGCTGCTCCCAAGAAAGACACGCTGTGACTAAGAACATGGGTAACAGCAACAGAAAGAAGTTAGAGGCAGATACCCTTCTAGGAGTAAAACCAGCACAGCCAAGAATCACATCCCCCATCATACTGTCTCAACATCCTGCTACTTTCAGCATGAGAATTTTCTTAAGTCTAATTTTGCCTGCCTAATTTGAGTGTCATTTTGTCAACCTCTCTTTACTCACTTTGAGTCAGGATCCACACTCTTCATTGGATGGCCCCTCATCCCTAAAGGAGAAGATAATGTGAATAAGGCCCTGTGTTGTCCATCTACTTGAAATTTTGTAAGCTAGTATCATATTTCCTTTCAGATACTTTGCACATGTTGGTGTCAGACAATTCCTTCCCAGTCAGCCACTCTCAGCAATTGTCTGGTTTAATTTCTCTAAGACCTTCCCATTTCTATACACACTCTCGAAACGACACACAGTATTCGAGCTGTAGATGGTACATTGGCGACTTCTGTTTTGCACTGTGTTGCTTCCCCAATAGCCCCTAATATTTAACTCCTTAGCAATGAGCTGATGTTTTCATACAGCTGCCTGTACTTACATCTCTTTCCCTATTGGTTACAGCCATTTCACAAGCCATAGTTAGGTATGCCAAGTTAGAATGTTAGCAGCAAACTTCTGTTCCTCAGTGCTCTACCCTCTTCAGACCATTTATAAACACTGGCGAGTTACTGACATAGTGAATACTGACTGTTTTTCTGCTACTGTGTATTTTTTCCCTTGAAATCAGTTATTCTAAAACAACCTCTCCTCTTCCACGGCTGCCTTCTTTTTCTGAAAGTCTTTGATCAGGAATTTTGCCAAAAAGCCAGGTAGACTGGATATGCTGGATCACCCTTTTCTCCACTTGTGTTTGGCCTCTTCCAAGAACTCCACAAAGTTTTTGAGTCCAGAATTCTCTTCACAGAAACAGTGGCGACTTTTACCTGAAAGGTCCAGAAGTCCCATAGTGATGTCCCTTCTTAGACTCTTAACTTAGTACTCAGTACCTATATTTAGCTCATGGAACTATATTTTCCTTGACATGCCAGAACCTTTTATTGATTATGGCATTGGTTCCCAGTATTCAGGTATAATTTTGGCAAGAGATGACACACTTCAGTTATTAATTCAGCTATTTTGTCTTATTTTTTTCATAACTCCTCAATGAATACAACCTTGGCCCGCCAAGTTTAGGCTTCATTTTGCCTGACTGTGGTATGATGACTGAAGAGATTTAGGCCATTATGTTGTAACTGCACTGGGAATCAAGCAGCATAATGCCTTCCTGCAGTAACAGCCGTTTGGGACCCAAGTTTCATTATGGATGTATTTGATCTGTCATAGGCTCTTTGAACATGGTTAATAAAAAGCATCACTCTTAAATACAGCATAAGCACATTAGTCATCATCATTTTGATTCAACAACAGTCAGGAGAGTATGTATTACCTACATGTTTTGTCTCAGGAGTGATAACCTTCTTTAGGTTTGCAGGTAAACATTCTCCAGGCATTGTTTGCTAGCAGGACCAGTACAACAGGCTGGGTACATAGTCAGCTCTCTTGTCATCCAGACCAAGGGAGGTGGAGATGCTTCAGATAATGGAAAACAGACTAGAGATTGTGAAGGATGCATGGAATGCTGTGCAAAGATATTGTGACAAATTCCATCATTCTACAAGGACTCACCGATCCAATATGAGCTTTTGTGACTTGGACTTTTCTGTCATTGAAATGTGCCCAAAACCAGCTTCCCTGGTGATGTTGCCAGCTCTTTGGAGGCCAGGAAAAGGGAGAAAGGTGTATTTGTGTGAACATGGAGATAGGTTCATAGCTGCACTAGAGTTC